ATCGGAAGCGGTTGTGGCCACGACCGCCCTTTCTTCCGAGGCATATGCGGATGTCGGGAGTCTTCAACTTTCGTTCTAAGACTTCGCTGCCCGGCTCGTTCCTTCACTGGATGCTACTCAAGGATAAGATACATGTGCGGCTTTCTCACCGTCCGAAGGTTTCTCCGCCAGTTCGTCTTCATCAAGGGATTCGGCAAGCGTGTTCAACGAGGAGGCTTTGGACCCGCTCACGCCCGAGGACTTCGCTTGGATTCCTCTCCCTATGACGGGCAACCTTCCGGGGCCGCAAAGCGCAGCCCTATGCGCCCTCTTACACGAGTATCTTTCCTTCCATGCACCACCAACTTCGCCGACGGTAGACGAAGTCGCGGTGGGGGACATGCTTGGCTACGTACCCAAGGTGGCCCGCGAGTTTGTCTCGCAACGGTACGCAGAAAACAATGCACCGTTGCTCTACGTTCGCATTCAGATTGGGCAAGCGGCCTGCAACGCTTTGCTAGATTGCGGCGCAACTCGCAACTTCATCAGCCAGTCCTTCACGACTCGGGCTGGCCTTGGCGCACAAGTACGGAGGAAGTCACATCCGACGACGGTCGCTCTTGCCGACGGTAAGACGAAACAGCTTTTAGACCGTTACATCTCGGCTGTCCCGGTGTACTTTGCACCGCACGCATGTGAACCCGTCACTTTTGACCGTCACTTTTGACGTGTTGGACACCGACTTCGATGTCATTTTGGGGATGCCTTGGCTTTCTAGCGTGGACCACACGGTCAATTTTCATCGACGCACGCTTACGATTCGTGATGCAACTGGCGCCGAGGTCCCATGTACTATTCCTCCCCCTCGCTCTTCCATTCGGTGCCAAGTCGTAAGCGCCAAATCTTTTCGAGACACATGCCGTTTCGAGCATGTCGAAGAGATTGGCATCGCTTTTCTTCGAACCGTCCCGACTACCAATTCATTGTCCACGGATGTGTCTTCCGACCCCCGCGTGACCCGGTTGTTAGACGAGTTCTCGGATGTTTTTGAGACACCCTCCGGTATAGTGYCGGACCRGCCAATCTCTCACGAGATCATACTTGAGGYCGGCGCCRTGCCACCGAAAGGATGCATTTATCGCATGTCCAAGGAGGAGCTCACGGTGCTCCGTGCGCAACTCGACGATCTACTTGACAAGGGTTGGATCCGCCCTAGCAGCTCACCTCACGGTGCGCCCGTTCTCTTCGTTCGGAAGAAGAACAAGGACCTTCGACTTTGCATTGACTACCGACGCCTCAACGCACAAACCATCAAGAACGCGGGGCCTCTACCTCGCATTGACGATTTGCTTGAGCGGTTGGGCGGCGCCAAGTACTTTTCGAAGTTGGACCTCAAGTCGGGCTACCATCAGATTTCCATCCGCCCGCAAGATCGGTACAAAACCGCGTTTAAGACGCGATATGGGCATTTTGAGTGGGTAGTTATGCCTTTTGGCCTCACCAATGCCCCGGCTACCTTTCAGGCGGTCATGACCACCGAGTTTCGCGCTATGTTGGACCGTTTCGTTTTGGTCTACTTAGACGACATCCTCGTCTATAGCCGAACTCTAGAGGAGCACCTCGAGCACCTTCGCCGTGTTCTAGAGACTCTTCGGTCAGCCCGGTACAAAGCTAACCGCGACAAATGCGAGTTTGCCCGGCAAGAGCTTGAATACTTGGGTCATTTTGTCTCTCCGGAAGGYATYCRTCCGTTGGCGGACAAGATTCAAGCCATCCAGGAGTGGCCCGAGCCGAAGAATGTGACGGACGTCCGATCCTTCCTCGGCTTGGCCGGTTATTATCAGCGCTTCATCAAGGGTTACTCAAAGATCGCGGCCAACCTAAACAAGCTACAAAGTGAGGATTGCCCTTTTGACTTCGACGACGATGCGCGCCATTCTTTTGAAACACTCAAAGCGGCACTCTTATCCGCCGAGGTGTTACATATTTACGACCCGCTTCTAGCTACGCGCGTCACTACCGATGCGTCGGGCTATGGCATTGGGGCCGTCCTTGAGCAGCACGACGGCACGGACTGGCACCCGGTCGAGTACTTCAGCAAGAAAGTACCTCCCGTGCATTCGATCGACGACGCACGGAAGAAGGAGCTTCTTGCCTTCGTCCACGCCCTCAAGCGTTGGCGACATTTCCTCCTTGGTCGGAAAGCATTCCGATGGGTAACGGATAACAATCCGTCGGTATTCTACAAGTCGCAAGGCACGATTAACAGTACCATTGCCCGATGGATGGCTTTCATCGACCAGTTTGACTTTTTCCCCGATCACATTCCCGGGAAGTCAAACCGTTTTGCGGACGCCCTCTCACGGCGACCGGATCTTTGCACCGCAGTCTACTCTACCTTCGAGATTGACGACGACTTGCGGGAGAGTTTCATCCGCGGCTACCAAGCCGACCCCCACTTTCGCGACAAGTACGCAAATTGCTCCTCTCCGAATCCGGTGCCTTCACATTATCGGATCCAAGAGGGCTACTTACCTGTGCATTCACGAGGTAAGGATCTTCTTTGTGTGCCGAGTGATTCACACTTGCGCACACGGCTTCTGGGCGAGTTTCATGATACGCCCGCCTCAGGACATTTTGGTGTCAACCGTACACTTGGCCGACTTCGCCAGCGGTTCTATTGGCCCGACCTTCTCAAGGACGCCACCCGCTATTGTGAGTCATGYGAAGTTTGTCGGCGTTGCAAGTCACGCAACCATCGTCCATTCGGCGAGCTACACCCATTACCAGTACCCCTTGGGCGACGGGAAGCGATCGCTATGGATATCACCGGCCCCTTCCCAAAGCACAAGACCGGCGTTGATGGGATCTTCACRGTCGTCGACCGCCTCACCAAGTATGCCATGTTTTTGCCTTGCCGCTATCACGCAAAGGCACCGGAGTTAGTCGAGGTCCTATACACCGGTTGGATCCGCTCCAAGGGCTACCCCAAGGAGATCGTTTGCGACTGGGACACTCGCTTTCTCTCCGACTTTTGGGTCGCCCTTGTCAAACGATGGGGCTCATCGTTGAAGCCGAGTTCGGCTCGCCACCCGCAAACCRACGGTCAGACGGAAAGGGCGCATCAGACCGCTCAAGTCCTCCTACGCACTCTCATCCGTCCTGACCAGGTTGATTGGGTCGAGCGCTTGCCAGACGTGGAGTTGGCTTACAACTCATCGATCCATCCGGCTATTGGGATGTCGCCATTCGAGTTTGAGCATGGTTCACCCATCTCATCGCCGCTGGACGTCATTTTACCGCGCACAGCCGAGAGCGACGACCATCTTGCGTTCCTTCGTCGCATGCAAGAGCTCCTTGTCAAGGCACGGGATCATATGTCAAAGACGCAAATACGGATGAGCCGCCAAGCCAACCGCAATCGTCTTCCTTGCCCGTTTCGCGCCGGCGATCTGGTTTGGGTCTCCGCCGCGGAGTTCAGCCTTGAACAAGACATCTCTCGCAAGCTCCTTCCCAAATGGATGGGGCCTTGGCGCATTCTCTCTGCAGTTGGTGATGATCCCGAGGGGCCTTCATTCCGCATCGCGGTGCCACCTCACGACGGCTTTCAGGAGGCCGGCTACATCATCACCGACCGGCGCCATGGCAACAAGGAAACGGAGTTTCTACTTCACTTTTCCTACTGCAGCCACAAGGCTGACCGTTGGCTGACGCGTTCGGAACTGCAGGTCACCGCCCCCGCAGTTCTCTCACGTTATTTAAGCAAGGAGAAAACTACGCCGGGCACTTAAGCTCCCCGGCCTCCTCGCTACGTTCTGCCATCAGATTGGCAGCTTCGCTCACGCCCCGGCTCATCTTCATAAGGAGGGGGGCTTGTTACATGCTGAGAGCCTCCACACGGGCCCCTCACGGGACCTGAGGTTGGATAAGGGCCCCCAGGTCGCGTCACCGCAACCTGGAGGCCGTATGGCCATTTCACTTAGGCCTGCATCGGAAAGACTTCAACTTTAAGTTGATTTCTTATTTATTTATTTACTGATGTGTTTTTACTAATGTGTTGTTGTCCGTTTTGTTGCCAGGTACACAGTTAGGACCAGGGCCGGAATCAGGCCCAGAGGCTGAGCCTCTAATTCAGTTTGGACCGTTACTCGTTTTCAGAAAAACGTTTGGACCTTTACTCGTTTTTGGCCAGACGTTTGGACCTTTACTCGTTT